ATCGTGGTTTTTGCTGAAGATTTGAAGGCATCAGGATTCCAGTTTTCCTGCCTGTATAAAAGACAGAGTTTCTTTTTTGTGATAACATCTACGACTGGAAAGATCCCCAGGCAGCAACCATGGATGATGTCATAGGGATGATGTCACAGGAGAGGTGTGATATCACAAGAGAGATGTGATGTCCTAGGGGGGCTGTGATGTCACAGGAGAGCTGTGATGAGACAAGAGACATGTGATGTCACAGAGGAAGATGTAATGTCACAGAAGAGGATGTGATGTCACAGGAGAGCTGTGATGTCATAGGAGAGCTGTGATGTCATAGGATAGCTATGATGTCACAGAGCAGGATGTGATGTCATAGGAGACATGCAATGTCACAGAGAAGGATGTGATGTCACAAAAGAGACTGCGATGTCACAGAAGAGGATGTGATGTCACAGAGGAGGATGTGATGTCACAGGGGAGCTATGATATCATAGGAGATATGAGATGTCACAGAGGAGGATATGATGTCACAGAGGAGGATGTGATGTCATAGGAGACATGCGATGTCACAGAGGATGATGCAATGTCACAGAATAGGATATGATGTCACAGGAGAGAATGTGATGTCATAGGATACATGTGATGTCACAGAGGAGGATGTGATGTCACAGAGGTGGATGTGATGTCACAGGAAGGATGTGTTGTCACAGAGGATGAGATGTCATAGGAGACATGCGATGTCACAGAGGAGGATGTGATGTCACAGGAGAGCTGTAATGTCATAGGAGAGCTATGATGTCACAGAGGAGAATGTGATGTGATAGGAGACGTAATGTCACAGAGAAGGATGTGATGTCACAGAGCAGGATGTGATGTCACAGAGCAGGATGTGATGTCATAGGAGACATGCGAAGTCACAGAAGAGGATGTGATGTCACAGGAATGATGTGATGTCACAGGGGAGCTGTGATGTCAAAGAGGAGGATGTGATGTCATAGGAGACCTGTGATGTCACAGAGGAGGCTGTGATGTCACAGGGTAGCTGTGATGTCACAGAGGAGGATGTGATGTCACAGGAAGGATGCCATGTCACAGAGGAAGATGTGATGTCACAGGAGAAGGATGTGATGTCACAGGAAGCATGTGATTTCACAGGAAGGATGTGATGTCACAGGGGAGCTGCGATGGCACAGAGAAGAATGTGATGTCATCAGGAGGATGTGGTGTCACAGAGAAGGATGTGATGTCACAGGGAGAATGTGATGTCACAGGGAACTGTGACGTCACGGGAGAGGTGTGATATAATGTTATAGATGAGATGCAATGTCACAGAGGAGGATGCAATGTCACATGAGAGCTGTGATGTCACAGAGGAGGATGTGATGTCACAGAGGAGGATGTGATGTCACAGAAGAGGATGTGATGTCATATGATAGATGTGACTCAGGGAGGAGCCGAGGTTGGGGAGGGCAAAACCGGCCCCAGATTGGATCGGGAATGGGGACCCCCCCTGCATTCCCCTGTGTCAACCTGCTCTGGGGGCTTTGGGAGGGCACCTCCCCCTCAGTGGGCATCCAGCTCACCCTAAAGGTGCCAGGACCACCCCACAGACCCCCAAGGACCCCCTAAATCCATCCAGAGCCCACCCCTCACCCCCTCAATCCCCTTTTCTGAGGGACCTTTAGGGGCACTGGTGGCTGAGCTGGGCAGCAAAGTTCATACCTGTCTACAGCCTGAGTCACTGAAATGATGATTTTTAAGCACAGAAAGGAGAAGCTTGAGGCAGTTTGTTGAAGGCAGAAGGACTGATTTCTCATGTATTTTAATTACTTCTGAAATGCTTCAAAGCCTGGTTTTCAGGGTTTTATTTAATTTGGCAAGTTCTTGGGGTTTTCTTGGGCTTTTCTTTGTGTGGGGGGTGGGTGGGTTGGTTGTTTTTACAGTTACTTGTTTCATATACTTGGTGCTTTTCCCAGGAGAACACTGATTTGTGTAGAGACAAAATCACTGGAGAATATCTTAATCTGGGGATAAAAATACTCCCCTGGGAAGGATGCAGGATGAGTTGGTATTATTTATTTAAGAGTTTCAGGCCCACAACGAGCAGTTTCAGCCAAATTTTCTAAGTGACTGAGGAACCCTTTTCTCCAAATGTGCTCCCCTGAGGCAGTTTCAAATCCCCAGTTGTGATTCAGTTTTCTGGAATGATTCTAAATTAATTAAATGCTTTTTTTGGCCATCATCTAGGCAACTGCTGCCACGGATAACATCGATTGTAAGAAGGCAGAAGAGAGGGACATGAAAGGGCCACCTGTGAGCAAAAGGTATTTTTCATTTTCAGGAGTCTCTGAATTTTTGTTACTAGTTTTCTGTTTCTGTGGAAGAGTTCAGTGTCCTCCCTCCTGGGAGGGATGGGAACAAATGATTAAACGTGGAAAATGTTCCGTTCCAACACTGCAAACTGCAATTTGTCCAGATGGTCTAAAGATGTCCAGATTATCGAAATCCTTCCATATTTTTGTTTTCAGGGAGAGAAAAATATTTGATGAAGAAATCCAGCAAAGGCAAAAGTACAAGGCCAAGCCTGCGGAGAGCTGAGGGGTGGCACCGGTGGCCCCAGAATTACATAGGGAAAATAAGAAACACAGGAATTTTGGGGTGGGATTGAGCCATTTTCAGTGGGATTGATCCACTTTGAGGTGACAGGTTGAACCCTCTTGACTTTTGGGATGCAGAGCTGGGAGAGACTGGAATGTTAATGGTCCATGGCTCCAACACTCTCCAGTTGCAGAAGCAGTGGGGGCTTTGCTGCCCAAGGGCAATGGAACCGCCCGGGGCAGAGGGGGGAACACCCACCCCTGGAGGGGACAGGCTGGGCTTGGAGCCAGAGAGGGGAAGTGCTATTTTTGTGTTTTTATATCACTATAGACAGGAGCCAAAACTGCCCCAAACCTACTTTACATGGAGACAGAATTGTTCTAAACTAAACCCTACATATATAGATAGATATAAATATAGACATAGATATAGATAAACTAGCTCTAATCTGCCCCAAGGGATCAGTTCACAAGACCCTGAGTCACCCTCACTGTCAGGGGGGTTGGGACAGGGGCTGGACACAGGGAAGCTTCTGGCAGCTGCTCACAGAACCCACCCCTGGAGCCCCCAGAAACCAAAACATGGCCATCTAAACCCCAATACACTGCCCAGCATGGACCACCTGGACCGTGGGTCACCAGGTCTGTGCCCAACGTGGGTCCCTGTGGATCATCCAATGGGGGTCCTCCGATGGCTGATGGAGTTGGAGCAGCAGCCAAAGCTCTTCCCGCAGTCGGGGAACTCGAAGGGCTTCTCTTACTGTGGGTCCCCTGGTGTGAGGTTGTGGTGCTTTGAAACTCCCAAAATCTAATTTTTAAGTTCAAGCCCCCCTCCCACAGTTTGCTCCTGTGAGAGGGTTTAGTGATGGTATGGACTTGATATCTTTTTCACCCCATGTGGAGACTTTTCAGACAAAACACAACCATTTGTTATTGGGGGAAGGGGAAAATATTTACAAAGGTTTATTACACCCACATATATATTTACATTAAATTAAATTTCTCCTCTTCTTCAATAAAAGTCCAAGAAGAAAAGAGTCTTTTTATCACTTCTCAGGCCATAGTTCCTTCATTTCAGGTTTTGTGGCACCGGTTAGTGTCCTCCATTTTTCCCAAGGGCAGCAGATTTAAATATAGCAGTTAGGATTTTTGTTCTTACTTTGTGGAAATTTCAACCCTGAGCCCGAGCCTTCGGGGAATTTCCTTGTAGATCTTCACTCCTCTTGGGTTAGAACATTGAAGGCAGCTTTCAGTTCAGTCTTACCAAAGCTCTTCTGCTCTGTCTCAGCTCAGTAGCAGAATAGAAGCAGCAGCAGCAGCAGCAGAGGGCACGGCCACCTCCTCCGCATTCCCTCCTGGCTCAGCTCTCAGGACAACTCCGGGTTTTCAGCTCCTTTCTCCCTCTCTCCAGCTGCTGCTGCATTTCGGGGCTCCCTAAGGGTTTGGAAGTCCACCCCTCCTCTTCACGGAGTCTCTGGGGTTTGGGAAAGTAATACAGTCTTACCCCAAACCAGCTCTGTTGAGTTTTCCTCTGGTTTGTTGCAGCTCTCCCTGCAGCTCTCCCTCCTGCAGGAACATCTCTGCGTCTCTCAACCGGCTTCACGTTATCTCGTTGCTCCTGGCTGCCTTTTGGCTTTCAGCCACTGTTGTCTCTGTTCAGGAATGCTCTGCTGCCGCTTTCAGTGTCTGCTGCTGCTGCTGACAGTAAGGAAACTTTTCCAGCCCTTGATTACAGGACCCGGTCCAGCACTGACACTATACCGGGTGTCCCGTGACCTCAACTGGGGGCTGGGCCCTTGGCCCCCAGAGGGGCTCACTGGCCCCCAGAGGGGCTCACTGGCCCCCAGAGGGGCTCACTGGCCCCCTGCCTCCTCGTGGCTCAGATCATGGCTACCCTCCTTCTACACTACCTTCACCACCTTCTCTTCCGTTTCTGTGGGTGTGTAATTCCCGTAGGGCGCACGTGGACTATTGATTGGTCCAGTATTATCAGTGGGGCAAACCATTACTGCCTCAGAGAAAAGGTTTTTCAAACCACCACAGCTGCTCGCTAACACAGCATAGGCTAAAGCTGTAACTTGCCCCTCAGTCCTTAGAAATTGCTCTGTTTCAGTCAGCAGCTGCCACAATGTAGAATAGCGAGCTGCTTCGTCATATCTTTTTGTGATTTTTTCCCCTAACTGTTCCTTTATAGCGTCCCAAATGGACACCTCAAAGGCAGCTTTAGCTGTGGGGATTAGTAACCCTTTAAGGGCTTTTTCGTCATAATTAGAATCTCTCTCAGAGAGAATTAAATAAAGGAGCGTTTGCACTGCCTCTTCTTTTGAAAGAGCAGACCCTGTTCTCCTTTCTTCAGCCGACTCACCTGACCAGGGCAGGATTTCTCTTGTACTGCTGCAGCTTTTTTCTCGCAGCACCGGGGGACACGCCACCTCCGACGGCTGCTTCTCCCAACTCCTCCTGTTCGCCTCACGTCCCTCGGAACTCGGCGAAGAAGAAGTCCCTGCTACGGGCACCAGATATCGATGAGGAGGTACAGAGACAGAGCAACACGACCAATGTGATCAAAGCAATGTCCGATTTATTATTTAAAGCAGTTAACTTTTATACAGTTTAGTTTGCTCAGGGTACATGCTCACAACAAGGTGATTGGACAGCTCAGTCTGTGCACGTGTCTCATGCTCTCAGTTTATTGGATCTGAGGCTCTGTCCATGCGACCTGAAATCATCCTTGGCATGAAAAGTTCTTTTTAATTAATATGCTTTTAGGGGTGTTCCTAAATCTGCAGGTGTTTCATTATCTCCAGTTTCTCAAGGCTTTCTTACTATAAACATATTACGTTCTCAAACCTTATAATTAGACACACAGCTAACAAGTATAAATATCACATATTTTCACACAGTCTATAAGTATAAACAATACAGCTTGTCACTTCCATGGCAAGAAAGGCATACAGAGTGCAGGAAAAATTGTTCAGAGAAATCTCTCTGTTCTGGCGACACACATATGTCAAAATGAGCAGATACATTTATTGCACATTAGCTCATTAACTATTAGTAATTATTAGTGCTACTGTTATTGCTGAAAGAGCAAAAATTCAAGACTGCAGCTGGCTTTAAGTTATTGCATTCTTTAACAAGCTCTGCCTTCAAATCAAAGCATACCTAGTGATGGTCAGACAGATGTCTCTGCACTCCCAAAATGTTCAGACAATTTTTAGCTCGAATCCTCTCTCCCCTCACCCATAACACAAGAACTGCAGAAACTACAACACCTATTTTGTATGTCCTTATGCTCACATGTGCATATGCAGGTCACAATATACAGTCAAATCACAATTGCTATGGATATTATTAATGTGTCAAACTCTGGGGTTTATTAATTGAGACAGGGAAGCAGATATGTTTCTGAATGTTAGTTCTTCCTCTGTGTCCACACAATCCCACACACCTCAAGCCCTGCACTCACAGAATATATTGGCACTGATAGGGCTTCCCTTACCGGTGGGTCCGTTGGTGTGAGGTCAAGGTAGAGCTCTGGGCAAAGCTCTTCCCACACTCCCCACACTTGTAGGGCCTCTCCCCGGTGTGGATGCGCCGGTGCCTGACGAGAGTAGAGTTCTGGTTGAAGCCCTTCCCACAGTCGGTGCAGCGGAAGAGCCTCTCATCCGTGTGTGTCTGCTCATGCGTGTAGAGATGGGAGCTGGTCATAAACCTCTTCCCACATTCCAAGCACTTGTAGGGCCGTTCCCCGGTGTGGAGGCGCTGGTGGGAGCGGAGGGTGGAGCTCTGCCTGAAGCTCTTCCCACATTCCCCACACTTGTAGGGCTGTTCCCCAGTGTGAATGTGCTGGTGGGTGCGGAGGTTGGAGCTGTCACTGAAGCTCTTCCCACATTCCTCACACGTATAGGGCCGTTCTCCAGTGTGGATGCGCTGGTGGCTGAGGAGATCAGAGTTGTCTCTGAAGCTCTTCCCACATTCCCTACACATGTAGGGCCGTTTCCCTGTGTGGAGCTGCTGGTGCCGGATCAGGTGGAAGCTGTTCCTGAAACTCTTCCCACATTCCAAGCACCTGAAGGGCTTCTTTCTAGTGAGATGTTGCCTTGGGACCAGGACCTTGGAGTTCCTGCTCAAGCTCCTGCCACCTTCCCGGCACAGGCTGGCTCTTTCCTCCTCAGAGCACCCTGGGCTGGCTTTGGAGCCCCTCCTGCGGGGGGATCTCCGGCCCTTTTCCTCCCCGCTGCCTTCCTGCGCCGGGGAGCCCTTCAAAACGGCCTCTCCCACCAGGGTCTCACGGGGGGATTTGTCCTCCGCGCTCTCCGTCCTCAGCTCGGGGCCTGGGGCAGGAAGCAAGAAGGACAGGCAGGGGATTTGCCTCCGGCCCACAGGGAAGGCCAAGGACATCCCCCCAACTCCGGCCCCGGCAGGACGGCGGCGCCAGCGGGGTTGTCCTGCAGCCGGGGCCATGCTGGGCTGACAGAGCCAGCACAACACCCACCCAAAGGGACACTGACTTCCTCCTCACCTGCCTGGGGGGCCCAAGGCATCTTCCTCTTCCTCGCAGCCTCCTCCTCCATCCGACCAAGCTTTGGGAAGGACAAATCCTGATGGGGGGAAAACAAGGGCTGAGCGCGTTGGCTTGGGGGTTCCTCCTGCCCAAGTCCATCTCTAGAACTCACCGGGCATCCTGGGTCCATAAAAACCTCCAAAACACCAAGATTCAGCCCAGAAAAACCCAAACCACCCAGATTCAGCAAAAAACCCTTCAGAAACAGCAGGAAGACCCCTGCCCCCCAAAAAAGTTGAGATTCAGCTAAAAAATGCTCAAAAATATGAAGATTAGACCAAAAAAAATCTTCCAAAAACAAACTGGGGCGAGGCGACACCCTGGGAAACCAGGGCTTTGCTCCCACAGCTCTGCAGGGGCTTCCCACAGGCTCTCAGCCTCCTTTGGGCATTCCCTACTCCGGTGTGGGCTCCTCCCAGGCTGCAGGGGGGTCTCTGCTCCATCCTGGACTCATCCACAGGTCACAGGCCCTTCAGCTCAGGGTCACCCAGAGCTCCAGCCGGTTCCGTGGAGCAGCGATCCCCTGGGCCCTGCCAGTGTGGGCACCTCGCCAGGGCTGTTCCTCGAGGTTCTCTGGCCCCCTGCCAGTCTGGGGTTGTTTCTCCAAACCACCAGACCACATTTGCCAAACGCCCTGGGTGCTCAATGGAGGATCACTGGGTCATCCTGGGGGTCAGTGGGAGGTTACTGGGACACACTGGGTGGTCACTGAGGGGGTTACTGGGCCATACTGAGGGTCACTGGGAGGTCACTGGGCTATACTGGGGGCACTGGGATCCCCTTCATCAGTTCTGCTCCCCCTGGACTTTTGGGGGCACTCCCAGGACCCCTCCCCTGGGGGCTTTAGGGGACACCCGGGCCCCCCTTCTTCTGGGGTCTCTGTGTGCTGAGTTTTGGGCGTCTCTGGGGTTCGAGGGGGGAATTGGGATCCGCTTTCCCGGGGGTTGGTTTGCTGGGCTGGCAGAGGTGCTGTGGTGGGATGGGAAATGGCATCATAGGAGTTTTAGTTGGCCGTGGCCAGACAGGACTGACACGGAGACCCCCCAAAATCCAGGCAAAACCCCTGAAACCCCCTCAGAAATCCACCTCTGGACCCATCAAAACCTCCTCAAAAACACCCCAAATCGCCTCAGAGACCTCATCTCCCCCCCAGGACCCCCTAAACCCTCTCAGTGACCTGCAAAACCCACCTGGGACCCCCAAGCCCCTTCAGAGACCTCAAAAACCCCCTCAGGGACCCTCAAAACCCTCTGGGACTCCGTAAATCCCCCTAGAAACCCACAAAACTGTTTCAAAGACACCCCCCCCCAAAGCCCTCAGGACCTCCCAATTCCATCGGAGACTCCAAAACTCCCTCGGGGATTCCCAAACCCCTTCAGGGACCTTTAACCTCTCCCCTAAGTCCCTTCGCGACACCAAAGCTCCTCAGAGCCCCCCAAAACCTCCTCAGGGACTTCTAAAAGCCCCTAAGGGACCACAAAACCACAGAAGAGCTTTCTGTAAAGGAAGGGATCAGAGAATCTGAGAAGGAGGAGACCAAGGAAAAACTGAAGCAAAGCAATAAAATCATCCTGGCCCTTGCAGTTTTTCCTTCACCTTTTTCTCACTTTTCCTTTTTTTAGGGTTCTTTTTTTGGTTGGGTGGGTTTGAATTTTTTTTTCCGAGGGACTTTCTCAGCAATCGAATCACCCTTCCCGGTTCTTGGGAGGCCTCCGGGCCCCGCGGCCCCCGAGAGGGTCCTACGAACCTCCGAACCCCCCGCGCTAAACCCTCCCGAGCCCTCCAGCCTTTCCCCCCCAGCCGCCCGCCTCCCCGCCAGACCCCCGAGGGGATTCCCCAGACCGCTCTCCCGCACCCCCCGCCCGCCACTTCAGAGCTCACCGGACCGACCGCCGCCATCACCGATTCCCGGCAGCCAACGCGGCAGGGCCGGGGGCGGGGCTGCGGGGGCGTGGCCGCGCGCTGATTGGCTGCGGCGGCGTTCTCTGAGCGCGGTGCGCGCGCAGCCGGGACTCGGTGATGGCGGCGGGGCCTGCGGTTCGCTCTGAGCGCTGTGAGTCCCCCGGGGGGCTCGGGAGGGTTTAGCGGGGGGGTGCGGGGATAACCGAGGAGGTTTTGAGGGTCCCTGAGGGAGTTCGGTGTCCTGAGGGGACTCAGGAGGTGGTGGAAGGTTCCTGAAGGGGTTTGGGGGTCTCTGAGGGGGTTTTGGTTTCTGAGGAGATTTGGGGGTGCCAGGTGGGGTTGGGGGTTCTCTGAGGAGGTTTGGGGGTCCTGGCTGGATCTTTTATGCAGTTTTGGGGTCTCTAGGGGGTTTACGGGGTCTTAGACGGTTTAGAGGGTCTCTGAAGGGGATTGGGGGATCCCTAAAGGAGACTGGGGGGTCCCAGGTGGGTTTTGCGGGTCACTGAGAGGGTTTAGGGGGTGCTGGGGAGGGATCAGGTCTCTGAGGGCATTTGAGGGGACCTTGAGAAGGTTTTGATGTGTCGAGGGGGGGATTTCAGGGAGTTTGAGAGCATTTTGGGGGTCCCCTAAAGCCCAGCAGTGGGTCCAGGGGGTCCCCCAGCCCCAAAAAGAAGGGGTCCTAGGGATGGCCCCCAAAATCCGGGGGGAGAAACAGTACCACATCCGGGTAAGGGGATCCCTAGACCCCAGTATATCCCAGTGACTTTCCAGTGACCCCTTCAGTGTCCAGCCAGTGTGTCCCAGTGAACTCCCACTGCCCCCCAGGATGGCCCAGTGATCCTGCAGTGAGCACCCAGTAACCCCCAGTATGGCCCAGTAACCTGCCAGTGTCTCCCCGTGTGTCCTGGTAATTTCCCAGTAACTCCCCAGTCCCTCCCACTGTCCCTCAGTTCCCCTCAGTGTGTCCCAGTATCCCCCAGTAATCCCCAAGTGCCACACAAAGCCCCCAGACTGTCCCCAACGTGTCCCTAGATGCCCTTGGCCTTTCTGTGAGCGGGGGTGGGGGGCATTTTTGTGGTCAGAGGGTCCAAGGGGGTCTCCTGGGGTGAGATGGAGGGTTGGGGACATCAGGGATGGGCCTTGGGGACAGTGGGGAGGGGTTTGGGGACAGTGGAATTGGGGATGTCAAGGGGGGAATTGGAGCCATGGGGAGGCCCTGGGGGCATTGGAGACACAAGGGGGGTCTCGAGGTGTCAAGAGGGGAACTGGGGACAGCAAGAGGGTCTTGGGGAAACCAGGGGGTTCTCAGGACTCACTTACTGTTGGTGCAGCCCCTTCTCTCCCCTCAGGCCCCTTTTAACCCCCCAAAATGTCACCAACCTTCATTTTCCCTTTAAACCTCTCCCCCCACAGATCCCTTTGATGCCCCAATGCCCCCAAAACCTGTTTTAACTTCCCCAAATACACCCAAAGACCCCCAACCCCCCCCCAATCCCCATCCAACCCCTCCAGATCCCTTCAAATTTCCCCCAGCTCCCCCTCCCAAATCCCTTCCAACCCTCCTAAAGAGGGATCACCGGGCACTCTGGGACAGGAACACAGTGGGCTGTACTGGGGGCACTGGGCTGTACTGGGAGGGCACTGGGGGGGCTCAGGTATCCTAGGACAAGGTGGCCCAGCTCCAGGAGAGATCTGGGGA